TCAGGGTGTTAGCTTTCGAAAAAAACTTATTTTCGGCTGCATGCAAGATCTATACTCTGCAAAAAATGACTATGTAGCATGCAATTTTCTCATTGACTTTCGATGTCCTTGAAAATTCAATTATATTTCAGGGAAAACATGCATAAAAATATTCATTCTTTTACTTATTCGGTAGAAAATCACGTCTTCTACCAATTTCATACACAAAAGAAGAGTATAATTCGGTTTTTAAAAAGTTTCTAATTATGAGATTTTTTAATACCGTTAAATGGCCGTTCATGAAACGTCATGTATCTGCATTTAAGAATGTGGCTTGTAAAGTTAACAATATTGCTCAAATCCACTGCTTAATTTTATGAACCTCATATGGTCTCCTCTTAACACCCTAGAGAAATACATGGTTTTCCGTACACGGGAAATATACAGCTTGTAAATTTGAAACCCTGAATGCAAATGTAACAGCAGGTCGTGTTCAAAATTATTCGGGAATAAGAAAGGTTTTTAAAACCGAATTAAACTCTTCTTTTGAGTGTGAAATTGGAAGAAGACGTGATTTTCTACCGAATAAGTAAAAGAATGAATAGTTATATGCATGTTTATCATGAAATATAATTGAATTTTCAAGGGCATCGAAAGCCAATGAGAAAATTGCATGCTACATAGTCATTTTTTGCAGAGTATAGATCTTGCATGCAGACGAAAATAAGTTCCTTCAAAGCTGACACCCTGGGGTAACTGGATCATTATAGATTTATGCTGCATCATGATTAGTTTTACAACACTACTTAATTTATCTTTTCGAAACGAGAACGCATTTCGAAAGTTTGGTTGACATTTCATGAGTTAACACATCTATTGTATATACAACGAAATTAGTGATGTGTGCATACTTTATAAAAATCACAGTACGCTCAGGAAATTGCAAAACAGCATTCCTTCTTGATATTCTTTCCAAAATGGGACACATTCTAGGAAAGGATAGATAATAATCAATAAGTCTAGGAAATCTTCGTTGGGCCAGTACACCTATACAGCAACAGAATACAAAACATGTGAGGTATAAGAGAACTCCATTTAAGTTAGGCTGAGTGGGTGTAGAAATAGCCGAGGTAATAAAAGACAGTGAGTTGAGAGTCAATAGGAAAGGGGGGGGGGCGAAAAAGTGCATACAGTTAACAAACCCTTGCCCACGGTAGGAGTGGAGCTTGCGCCGGGTTCTTCTGTGAGCACAGAACCGGCTTCCATAACTGAATGGCACCCGCCTTTGATGTTGCTAGGGGACATTGAACCGCGGATTAGGGCAGTTCGGTGAGACCTTGCAAACCACATGAAGGCTTAATTGGGATCAGAATTATTCCCGGCATCAATGATGTTTACGAGAATGGCGTTGTTTACGATTTTGCTTCTGCCTTTTCCCGACAATGTCGGGAGGTGTTTTCGCATTTTTTGGGATAGGCATATAGTCGTTAGTCGATAAAACCTGCTCCACAGGGTCATGGAAATGAGTGGATGAACGTAGATACGGTCTGAGCTGGCAACCTATCCTTATCTTCTCTGTGTAGAGCAGGGTTAGTTGAAAGTAATACCTAAACTGATGTGATTGGGCTTGTTCATGAATCAGTACTGTCAAGACATCCTATTAGGCGTTCCTTTGAAATGAGACATTTAAAACGGACCTTGCTTTTCCATCGCCAGTGTAATGGGTTTCGTGGGTTTTTCAAGAAGATTGTTTGTAATAATTCTGTCAGGATACTCGTATTTGCGAAGCAGGCTTTGGGCCTTTTAGGTTTCTTGTTGGTGCTGTCCGCTAAATAGATCTTTCTAGTCATTTCTGACAAACAAGTGGCTAGACGGCGTTATTCTTTATGGTATACGTCCGTGTAGATATTCGACTAATGGCCCGACAAGGTTGTCTTCCGATCGACTCTTATCTGAACGTCACCGTTAGTTCTTATTCTTAGAAGGATATCAAGGAAAACGAGTGAACCTGCTGTTTTCAGTTTCACCGTGAACTTGCTCGACAGATGTGCCTGATTTACTCACCTAGGATAATAGCTGTGTTGGTTTCTGCTGTAAAGATGGTGAAGACATCACAAACATAGCGGCCGTGATTTTTGAATTTTATGATATTGTCACCAAGTTGAAATTTTGCCAGGTTGCCCTTGAAGGAATTGACTAAGAGGCTACTGGTACTCGAGCCCACAAGAACGCCGTATGTTTATTTATACAGTTGCTTTTCATAAAGACATTGTACACTTAATGTGCATCTTAGTAATAGTTCCTTGAGTACGTTTCTCGGATTTCCTATTCCCTGCTGATTGGCCGACATCATTTCGCAGATGTAATCAGTTGTCTCTGTGACCGTAACGCTTGTGAAGAGTGATAAGACGTCTTGCTAGAACACCGCTATTCTATTTATGCCCAGGCCTTTAACGTCATCACTGTAATAGACTGCATCACGATAGCTATGTTGTACCAGCCGCGACTGAATGAGCTTGATTTTCTCTACTCACTACTTTGATATCGCGTTATATGGATAGTTGTGTATGATTGTGCCCTCCAAACGGGCCACGTGTTAGATGCGCTGGACCAAGACGGGGGCCACATCGGACTTTGGCAGGCGTTATCTGTGCGCAATAACAAATGCCAACATTCCCGGGGTGCGCTGGCGGACCCTGTTGTCGGCATTCGTCGCACAACTGGACCACTGCCTCCACCCCATTGTTTTGTGGTCAAAATCCTGGTCTTGGTGTGTGGACCAGGGGTGCGGAGTGGAGCGCCAAGGCGAAGATCCGTCCGAGCCATCCACCTGCGGCCTCCCCCGTCTCCGGTCTTCTTGACTCTGTCCTGACACCGGGCCCAGGCGGGGGAGGAGGAGAGAGTGTAGGTAGATGCAGCGCAAGTCCACCGGCACTATAAACCCCTGCGCAAGTCACCGTCCCTGCTCCCACCGCTGCTGCAGCTGTGGGGCACACGGTGGACATCGCCGAAATCGACGGTCGAACTGTCGTTGTGTATGATTAAAATCGGAGGAAGTAGCAACACATTCTATTGGTTCTTCGATAGACCATACAATCGAGGGATGTTCTTATTCTTAAAAGGACACCAAGGAAAACGAGCGAACCTGATCCATTAAGCTTCACCTTGAACTTGGTCTACGGATGCTTCTCATTTCTAGCTTCTAAGGTAGCAGTTCTGCTGGTTTTTGCTGCGGCGATAACGAAGATGCCATCAGCGTGGTAACCATAGTGTCGTGTTGCTCGCAAAATTATGTTCCAAAATCTTCCATTGGGATTTTTACCATCTCAAAAAAGTCAAAAGGTGACCATTTCAAAAATTTACTAAAAAAACTTATGACTGTTTTTTGGTTGAAATGGTGGCAAGGTTAAAGGCGAATATCGACGTCGATACATAAACTAATATATGTTTTGTCGCAGTTGTTTAGATTCATCTTTGTGCATGCCAGGTTTTGGCATGGCTGAGAATGTAGTTATACCACATTAATTAATTAAAATTTCTTAAAAAATGTACTTATGGACCGCTACATAGGTCTGACGAAGATATACAAAACCGGTGACATGAATTGTGAAGTACTTTTGACGAATGATTTCCGACCGTGCGTGAACGATGTGGAATTTCATCTTACAAAATACGACATGTTATACTTACATGCAGATGCAGCTCTGCACCTTTAATATGGCTTACGACTGCACATATGTATTTTGTTTTAAAGTGACCAAATAACTGCAAGTTTTATTCATTTTTGATAAACCTTAAAACTAAACCGCCTAGACGGCAGCTAACTTTTAAAACACAATTTCGAATGCGTTCGCAATGCTCGCAATAATCCTTCCTACCAGACCACTCAAATTTCGACTGTATTTTAATAGTATTTAATGGAACGGAGCAAGTGGCGGCAGTCATTGAGAATGGTCTTTTTAAGACGCCAAATTTTCTAGGGATCACCATCGCACCGGCAAAAAATTATATAATTCGACACTTACTTTGCAGACGTGTAAACAGCCCTGGTTTATGCGAATTGCCTCATGCGCAATGAGCACCGAGGGTTCCGTTTCAAGTCGCGAGTTTCTACTGTAAGTCATTGTGCCAGCATTTAGTAGACATGTTTCGACCGAGTCTTAACATCTTTTTCCCAACCAAATGATGATAAGACAGACGTATTCGTATTCGCAGATCCGGTTTCTGCAGAGGTGTCTCGACAATAACGTGTTACCGAAATGTGTTTCATACAAGCCACCGGTTTACAGGGATTTGGCGGGACGAGCAGTATTTCAGCACGGCAGAAGGATGATCCGAGTGCTCCTCCAAGATTGCCACGCGAGACTTCGTAAGTACCGTCAAAGGATTGACCAAGAAAAGACCAGATGCTGTGAGTTCATGGGTGAGATCGGTACGAATCTGCTCCTGCGGAGGATAGTTGAACAAGCCCGCGAACAGAGCATGATACGCGACGCAGCACTGGAGAACAGATTTCGAAAGCTGCCCAATCCAACGTCGTCCAGAAATGACAAACGAGTGCACAACCTGTCATCAAAGGAGCTGACGAAGGATAAGATGCAGGTTTTACAGCACGAAACTTCATTTAACACGGCTGACGCCAAACCTGTTAACATGATTGCAGCAGTGGAATCAATCCTTTGTCAGACGGAGACAACGGAGGAGACTAAGAACCTCATCCGACACCAAGTGTCGTCTCTCCTGATGGCCCACAGGTCGCGGGAAGTGCTTTCCAAGGTCGAACGTAATGCGCTTAGAGAACTCAAGGCCGACAAAGACCTGGTCATCGTGCCAGCGGACAAAGGACGCGCCACAGTTGTACTGAACAGGACAGACTACCTTCAAAAAGCCAAAGTTTACTGGAGGATCGACAGTTCTACGTCCCATGAGCAACGAACCCTTTAAAGGCGCTTACACGCGAAATTAATGCTACGTTGTTGGCCTTGGAGAACTCAGGTGCAATAACACCGACCGACAGACGCATGGCGAGACCCCAAGATACGGCTTTGGCCCGATTCTATGGCCTCCCTAAGGTGCACAAAGACGGCGCTCCTCTCCGACCCATCGTGTCGCTCAAAGGGACTCCAACGTACGGACTGGCGAAGTGGCTGTTCCGGCGTCTCAAGTTCCTGACCGCTGAGTCAGACACCACTGTCTCTTCGTCAGCAGACTCTCTGGAGAAACTCAAAGGGGTAAGCCTCCATCCAAATAAGGTCATGGTATCTTTTGATGTTACATCCCTTTTTACTTCTATTCCCCAGGACCTGGCGATCGAGACAATTGAACTGCTACTACAAAGCAAATACGATGAAACGGAGAACCGTCTTGGACACGCCCAAATCCTTCAGCTCCTGAAGCTCTGTCTCAGGACGTACTTCACGTTCGACGGGACAATCTACGAACAGGTGAAGGGCACACCAATGGGTTCGCCGATTTCGGGATTCATCGACGAGGCGGTCCCGCAACGGTTAGAGTCGCTGGTCTTCCAACACCACAGACTGAAATTCTGGGCCCGTATGTGGATGACACCTTCGTCGTCATCGAATGGGATCAGGTGTTGACATTCCAAGAACATATCAACGCCGACTTCCCGGACATTCGATTTACGATGGAGGAGGAAGAAAACAACCAGCTGGCCTTCCTGGATGTCCTCGTATGCCGCAAGGATTGTGGTGGACTACAGATCAAAGTGTTCAGGAAAGCGACAAATACGATGCAAGTACTGAACTTCAACAGTAACCACCCAATCAGCCACAAACGCAGTTGTGTAAGGACGCTCTATCGGCGTGTCGAAACGCACTGCAGTGAGCCGGAAGACAAAATTGCTGAACTACAATACCTCCGACGGGTATTCAAAGCCAATGGCTACCCGCGCAACTTCGTCGACCGGTGCATACGCAAAAGGGACGAAAGGCCTAACCGCACGGACACCAAGTCTTGGCGGGCACTTCCGTATGTCAAGAACGTTTCGGAAGCTGTCGGCCGCCTTCTCGCACCACTTGGGGTTGGAGTGGCACACAGACCGGAGGCAACCATCAGGCGTCTGATCATGAAACCGAAAGACCCATTGCCACGGCAAGAAACGTCTGGAGTCGTTTATCGGATCTGGTGCAGTTGCGGACAAAGCAACTACGTCGGAGAAACCGGAAGACAGCTCCGAACGAGAAAGACCGAACACGCGGCAGCGGTGCGCAGAAATGACGCCAGCTCTCAAGTTGCGGCTCATTCGACGAGATCCGGCCACACATTCACATTCGATGAGGCCGAAATTCTCGCAAGAGGTGACAACCGCGTGAGCCTGGAGCTACTTGAATCATGGTTTACTGGCCCCCAGTCCATCAACAAGTGCAACGATCTTCCCACTCCATACTGCGTGCTAAAACTTCACCTAGGCGGAGTAACAAGCCATGCTGGGAGCGCAGAGATGAACACTTTTCCCAACACTGGGGTCGGTGCGTCAGATGGTCGAGCAGTCATCACGCCAACATCCAACGCACGTGATGAAATTGCAGCAATTATCGACTCGAATGTCGGCCATCAAGCAGTGATCACACCAAGAGCGACGATCCCGGATGAAGGGGGGAGCCGTTAATGTTCATAAGTATGCGGTAGCATGGCTACTGCATCCTATAAATACCGCAGCCCCTTGTGCAGCAACCACTCGTTTCTGCTTTTTTGTCTCTGATTATGGATATGAGTAGGAATTCGAAACGTCAGGCTAATAAAGCTCTTGTCCCGGTGATCGTGTCTCCTTCTTCAAGACTACTTCCTGGGACTCGTCTCTTCGCTTCTATTGACAGACGAATTACTTGAAAATTAAATCTTCTCTAAAACAAATGCAAAACCTCATTCTTTTAAGTACTTTAAATTTTTGATATCATTCAATCGCACTGTTGAATGCTTGAAATTAAAATGTCGATCCAGAGTTAATGACACCATTTACTATAGCGATTAGCAACAGATAACTGCGCAAATATATGTTGGACGTAACAAATGTCGGCGCTAGTTCTTTTGTTCAATACGTCAAGTGAGCATTAAGCAAAACAAAAACTAATAATTATATCACCATATATAATATACAAAATCCACAGTGGAATTTTCCAAAAACCAAAACCCATTTCTACGATATTTTAAAAATAGGTACTATTTAATGACGGGAAACTTACCGCTTCCGGTAGGGCTTCCTGGCTCGGCTGGCTAGAACGTTGGCTGTAATCAAGCATTTTGCTTGCCATCCTGGATTCAAATCCCATCGGGTCGCCGAGTTTTTGCAGCTGGACCCATAATTATTAGATTGTCGATGTGTCTGACTTAAAGCGTTGCCTCTAACAGTTCGTAAACAGTAACGAAAATAAAAGAACCAAAACTTGGATTGCATCAGATGCTCTCGCATACAGCCTGCTTTTCTTTCTGGGACCGACACAAAGAAAATAAAAAAGACGCAGTTGGATCGATATGATTTTCTAGCACTTGTCCAATCACCGCATAGAGTCAGTGCATCCGTGTATGTACGTGAGTTAGACTTATTCAGAAATGGCGTCCTAGACCCCAATTCTAACTTGAGGCCTTGCGCACAAACCAGCATCCTTGCAATGGCCTAAACCCTAGCATAATCGCTCTATCTGGGTGCTGAATTAACGTGGGCTAGCGAGCGTAGGCGTCAGTTTTTCGGCCTGTCGATTTTTCACCGACCATCGCGGCCGAGACTCTTACTAACCCATCATTCGAACTCGGCTTTGGCTGAGTGACGCAACATTTTGATAAAAATCCAATGCGCCCTTTCTGTTAAGACAGCATTTCAGCCCTCCGTACGGAATAATCAGATGCTGGTGTTTACCGTTTCTCCTCCTTAATGGGCCTGAAGAGAGAAAGTGTGGTGTAGTTAGGATATGTCGCCTACTTGCAGTACTTTTTTTCGCGGAAACTTCCTTTGTCAGGAAGGCGTATGCGGCATTGACTGATACGGCGAAGGATGAAATGTTTGGCTTTGGGAGAGTGCAGAGGAATTTGGCTGGTCCGAGACTGATGGAAAAGACGTTCGTAGTTGTCACGCCGACCTTTAACTTCGGTCAATTAGTCGGTAATATTTTCAGCAATAACATTTGTAGGAGGAATATTTAATGCAAAGCACTGACAGCCATTTCGGCAGATCTTCCGTGCCAGCCATACTTGAGGCCCATTCTACGGAAGATGCCAACTCGGCAGAAGACAATTTTCAGTACTCTTTGACAGATTTTATTGTCCTTTTGGGGATTTGGTAGAAGAAATGAACAAGGCGGTGTGGAGTTCGGCTTTGATTAAGAACCCACTAAAAGAGGCTCAAATATGCATTTACTCATGATAAAAATTACCTCGAATATGTATTATATTCCAAGTGCGGAACTCCTTGTACGTCATTTGGTAAGACACAAATACAAGTTGGATTGCATTTATTTCCAGATATGTAACTTATTCCCTTGTTGCAATCCCGACTCAAAACCTAATCTCTATGGCAAAAGTGAGCTTGACCACAGATTTAACTCTGGCTCTCACCTTGACCCTAAACCAATTCTCGCTGAAATTTGGCGCAAGGTCACCTGTATAAAGGAGCGGCGTTCGCTCCGCGTATCCTACCGTCATTTGAACGGAGGCTGTAAGACGAGTCAAAAACCTTCGATAAAGAACGGGTATAGTCACAAAAATTCCGAACATTGACGCAAACTTCAATCTGATTGAATGTAGATATTGTTGGAAATTGGGGTTAGAGGATAGAACTTAAGCAGGATCATTTCCCGCCCGACATGCAAGGGCGCCATCAGTGTACTTCTCGGGGTTTAAAGGTGATTGATTTATTAGACCTCAGCCACCTGAGTCCCCATAGCCGCGTCGCTGCACATCCCCGACGTTTTTGTTTCCAGACGCAGGTCCTGCCTACTTTCCTTCTATTAAATTTCTCAGTGACTCGTCTCATTGCTCGTACGCTTGGGGGACCAATGTGGTCGGCAACTGAGGTAATAGGTAGATAATATTTTCTCTACCCACGCTCACCCTCGGTTTCCATCAAAGTTACTTGGACTGCTACGTTTCGTAGGCTTGAGATGAAACTTCACAGTTTGCTTGTACTGTGGACAGTATCAACAAGGGAGTACCTATTTTTTTACACAGAATGCCCTCATACAGAAGGCGAGCTAACTCATGAAATCTCAACCGAAATTCTGTAATAAGATTAAGTAAGTAGACTTATAGAACTAATTATCATGCAGCATAATTCTATAATAATTCAGTTTCCGCAGGATGCCGGCTTTCAAATGAAAATCTTTCCAGCTGCGTACGAAAACAATACTTTGCAAAAAATGACTAATGTAGCATAACTTCCTCTCATTTATTTTTGATGCCCTTAAAATTTCAATGATATCTCATGGAAGACATGAACAAAATATCCAAGTTCTTGCTCATTCGGTAGAAAATGACGTCTTCTTTCAATTTTATAGTCGAAAGAAGGGTAGTTTTCGGTTTTTGAAAACTTTTACAATTCCCGAATAATTTTGAACCCGATCAGCCGCCACACCTGCATTCAGGCTTTCCAAATTACAAGTCGTATACTTTCTGCTTACGGAAATCCATATGTTTCTCTTCGGTATTAAGAGGAGATTATATGATGTTCATAAAATGTAACGGTAGATTTGAGTCATGTTGCCAACTTTTCAAACCTCGTTGGTAAACGTGGAGACATGACGTGCCATGAATGGCCATTTCACGGTATTAAAAAACCTCACAATTAGAAACTTTTTCAAACCGAATTATACCCTTTCTTCGAGTATAAAATTGAAAGATGACGTTATTTTCCACCGAATGGGCAAGAGAATGAATATATTGTGCATGTCTTCCATGAAATATAATTGAATGTTAAGGACATTGAGAATAAATGAGAAAAACGCATGCAACATTAGTCATTTTTTGCGAAGTATATTTTTTGTACGCAGCTTGAAAGAAGTTCATTCGAAGGCCAGCATCCTGAGGTAACTGAATTGTTATAGAAGTACGCTTCATAATGATTAGTTTTACAACTCTACTTAATTAATCATTTTGGAACGAAAACTTACTTCGGAATTTCGGTTAACATTTCATGAGTTAGTCCATCTACCGTAAGTGATACTCAGGAACGTAAATGTTGTCCTTAATTACCTCGTAAATTTAGACTTTGTTTACAGAGAAAGACAGAACGAGTAGAAATAGCCTCAGCTTTAACTATGAAGTTTTTCAAGCACATTTACTACACAGAATTCCAATTTTTCGAAAATATGCGCATCTGCAGCAATTTTGAGGCTGCACCGGATGCAGATGACCACATTTTTTGCTAATGGAACGTACAGAGTTTGCAGACTCTTTGTGATTACGACGTTCTAGATGCCATAATAGTTCTGTTACAATTCTTATTATTTTGCTAAGTTAGGTGTTTCATGAGTGGTACAGAAGTCCACTGATATCCAATGCAGAATTTCATTTTTGAAACAAAAACGGATATTAAACAATAGAGGGTGCAACCTCCTCAACTGCCTTCTATTTGCCAAGCATAACTTAG